AATTTATTCTGTACATGGATGGGAAAAAGTAGCACCCCATGCAATGTCTACATGGTATTTCTACAGTTTCTCTGTGGTAAGTGCCCCTGAGCGATGAGGTCAAAAGAGTGGGGCTGTGCCATGGGGTGGGAGTCCTGAGCTGAACAGCTAAAGGAAAACTGAGCTGATTCTCAGCTCTCCCTGTGCTCATGCTTGGAGAGCATCTTCCCTTCCCTCCCCGCCCCTGCTGATGCACCACTGGGTTATCAGTCACACGCAAGCACTCCTCTAACACCAGCTGTTTTCTTCAGCTTCCAAAGTGGGGGGCAGGAGGGAGCCATCTCCCCTCTGCTCCTTGACACACCCATGGGCTGAAAACCGGAACCTGCTCCGCCAGCAGCCCTGCCCCGGCTCAGCCCATGCAGGCGATGGGGCTGCTCAGAGAAAGGGATCCTTTTGCAGAGTCATTCTCTTTCACTGCACCGGAAAGCCAGGGGTTCCCCTTTTCAGTCTGACACCTTTCCGGTTAGGCCCACCCGCTTCTCGCATCTGCCAAGAAGGCACCTCCCTTCCCCGGGGGGCCATCAAGATTCACGCCCATTCCACGGGGGGCATTGCAAGTGGGCGCCTTCTCCCAAAGAGGGAAAGCCGATGCCACTCCGGGCATGTCTACAGTACGGAGACTACACCGTGGTTATACTGGCTTAGCCTCAGAACGCAGACGTAGTCTACACAGAAGGGATTTTTCCCTCCATACAGGAACTTTACCTTCCCAAGTGACAGTAGCTAACTGGGCAGAAGCATTTGTCCATCGCCCTAGCTGCAGCTGCAATTCCCCCCTCCCCGCCCGACTGGAGTAGCTGTGTCCACCTAATGGGTTTGTTAAGTGCAGGACAGCACTGAGAGAGACCTGACATTCCTGAACTAGCTGGCACGGGCCCCAAAAGAGGAGGAGAGACCTGGGACTTTGCCCAGACAGCTGCATTTCCCAGCCATCACACAGACCAAATGGACTAAAACACAGGACCAGTGGATGAGACACATCGTAAGGGAGCTTAACTCCAGAAAGTCTGCCTGAGAAGTCGTAACAATGGAATTTCAACCAGCGGAGACTGCTTCACACATCCCCAGCCACAGCTCACAAGGAGGGACCAGATGAACCATTGTCCGTCTCCCCCTTCCCTCCCCCCACACGACCCCCTCCTGCAGAAGAAAACAGCTGTTTGAGGAAGGACTTTTCCTAGAGGGCACCTACTTTTTTTTCGGCAGAGTATCATAAGCATCAATCTTACTGGCCTTTCCCAGGGGTTTCCAGGATTTTCCTGGCTGTTTTCTGCTAATCATCGGAGACATCCATTTGAGAATTGCTCCCTCTATCCCACCCGATAATCTCTTCCAACAGGATCCATGCAGAATACGGTTTCTCCTTACCACTAGGGATGTTAAACAATGGTTAACTGGCTAATCAAGTCGTCGATGAAAATTCCATCAACTACTCAATTAGTCAATAAGGAGAGTGACTAATTGAAAGTACAGAGCCTCAGCGAGGTTAGTTCCCAGGACTGGTGCGAGACGTGACTAAGGAGTCCTGGCTCACGCCAGTTCTGGGACTGCTGTGGCCCCGACTCCCCACACCACAGAGATGGAGGTGGTGGGAAACTAGCTTTTAAGCTGGCTCCCCCCAGCACCGGTTCTACTTCCCACCTCCTTGCTGCCTCTGATACAGAGGCAGTGGAAGAGAGGGGAGGGAAGAGTGAGTATTTGCTCGGCTAGTCACTTAGGGTATGTCTACACTCGAACCCTAGTTCGAACTAGGGTGGTAATGTAGGCAACCGGGGTTGCAAATGAAGCCCAGGATTTGAATTTCCGGGCCTTCATTGGCATAAAGCGGGGCGCCGCCATTTTTAAATGTCCGCTAGTGCGGACTCCGTGCCGCGTGGCTACACACGGCACGGACTAGGGAGTTCAGACTAGGCTTCCTAATCCGAACTACCTAGTCCATGCCGTGTGTAGCCACGGGCACGGAGTCCGCACTAGCGGACATTTAAAAATGGCGGCGCCCGGCTTTATGCCAATGAAGCCCAGGAAATTCAAATCCTGGGCTTCATTTGCAACCCCGGTTGCCTACATTACCACCCTAGTTCGAACTAGGGTTCGAGTGTAGACATACCCTTAGATGCCTACTTCCCGCCCAATCTGAAGTCTAGCTCTAACCACATCTGAAGTTGGTTACTACATTAAAGCAATTGATGCTGTCTTGTTCTAAAACCTCCTCCAGTTTCAGGTGACCAAAATAAAAGCCTTTATTGGTTCCCCATATCTCTGCACCTCCCCAGAAAGGACGGAAGCCTTGGTATGCCATGACCTTTTGCAGCGTTACCAAGAAATTAGGTCAACACCAGATTCACTACAGGATGCAGAAGCTACATGTGTGGGTGGGAAGCACTGATTTCAAAACACTGACACCTTCAGTGCTCACCTAAGGAGACAGGCTACGTGGCAAAACGGACAGTTAGAAATCACAGGTTCTCACTGTGGCAATCCACAAACTCTTGCATTCACAAGAAAGAAATAGTTAGTTGTCCTGTGGCACTTCAGAGACTAACAAAACCCACTTCCAGCCCATCTGAAGAAGTGGGTTTTGCCCACAAAAGCTCATGATACTAGATATATTTCTGTTGGTCTGGAAGGTGCCACAGGACGACTCGTCGTTTTTCAAGTCACAGACCTACACGGCTCCCCCTCTGAGGAACGAAACAGTAACTCACAACAGTTCCCAGGACCGACACCCTGAAGAGCAACCCCTCTGAAATGCATCCAGTGTTATATTGCACACCTCATGTTCCTGCTAAATGTGCTTTGGCCACGCACCAACAGAGGAGGGAGACAAAAATGATCATGCTGACAAGATGCCAGCATCACTAGAGGATTCGTCTTCCGCTCTCCCTGCAGAAATAATAATAATAATAATAATGACAAACTTTCCTCTTTTACCCTATGCTCCAAGGAAGACCAGAGCAAATAGGCTTTACAAAGAGCCTAGAAGACCAGCAAATCCCAATTCTTTTAGGCCAAGTCAGGGGAAGGCAAATACTTGAGCAGAGGGTCTTCCCCTGCGGCATGTGGGGCTGGAACAGGAGGGGAGCTGCCGGTTTCTATAGCAACCTGGGACCAAAGAGTTTAGGCCTCTATAAAGCCAAGTTTGCTTCCTGCACTGCACCTAGGCCAGGGTGGGAAGCCCTGGCAGATTCCAACGCACAGATGCATTATGCTCCACCTCTACCCTGCGACGGAAGCAGGGCAGCTGCAGTCCATATATTTTTAGACACAACAAACCCTGAACCTTGGCACGGGGTTAGACTAGATGGCTGTCCAGGTTCCTTCTAACCTGTGATTCTAGTCCAGTGGTTTTCAAACTCGGGGTCGCGACCCGGCACTGAGGGTGGGATGTCGGGCGCTGAGTCTCCTTGCTGCAGGGGGATCAGTGCCCAGCGGGGGTGCTAAGGCAGCTTCCTGCCTCTCCTGGCCACGCAGACTACGCTGCACCCCAGAAGCGGCCAGCAGCAGGCCTGGCTCCCACGGGGGGGGTAGGGCACACAAGGCTCCATGCACTGCCCCTGCCCTGAGCACTAGCTCTGCACTCCCACTGGCTGGAGCCTGCTGCCGGCTGCATCTGGGGGCAGCATGGTCTGCTGTGCCAAGACAGGCAAGAAGATGCCTTAGC